AAATTTGGATTTAATCATTTTTTGCTGTTATGGCTTTCTAAATTCAATTATGAAAAATGATATTTAACAAAGTTAACAATTTAAAAACCCAAAATAGATACGTAAGTATTAATATTACTCTAAAAAATTTTGAAAAAGCGACATGCAATTTTAGCGAATTGTGGTCAAATGACGTAATAGCGAAATGTTGATTTAGCGAATCTCTCTTGTCATTGTTGATTTCCTGTTTTCACAATACTTGTCTGTCGCGTGCCAAAACAAATGCACAGTTATCACCTCCATCAAAACTGTCCTGAAGCCCCTCCCCCTGATTTCCGGATCCCCAAGACTTGGCCATTTAAAATTTATAATAAGTCATTAGCGTCATCCTGTCATGTTTTACAGTATATCAAGCGAATTGCAGAAAAATACAATACATCTACGTCGATTGATTTGTTGAAATGATTAATTTCAACCGGAATAAGACAGCTGTTTTGGATTCGGTAAAAAAAAATTATTATATTTGCCTAAAATATCTCATACTTTTAGGACAAGTAGAACCCGGGTTACATCAAATTATTGTGTTTTGTGAGTATGTAGACAAGTCAATAAAACGTCACTTTCGCCTATGTTCAGACATATATGTGAACCGCCCAGGGTAATTCGGCTGAAGCAGATTTTTAATTAGGGTGAATTATGATATTTACACAAAAAATATTTTGTGTAAATATACTTTTTGAAAACCTCTACTACATACTTGAGAGAGGATACTTAATGGCCGTAAACTAACCAACGTATTATTGCGTCCGTGTTTCGCCATATAATAAAAATTTTAACTAAAATTGTAATGACCACAATTTAGGAATAATGTTTATTTCAACTTATTAATCATTTTAAAAATTTAACATTGGCATTATATTCCAATCATTATAGCTGATTTTCATATCGGATGCCTTCACACAAGTCCGACATATATTTCACTTTATAGGTGATGTGTTGCCGTCTATGATCGTAAGATTTTGAAAAATCTACGAATAAAAAGGCTAGAGAATCGGTCTAGAGTGTTTTTGTGGGCCTTGCGTACGGAACAGTCTGTGCATGCGAGTTCCCATGGTAATGTACTGAAGTCATGGAGACAGACACTCACTGGCAGCGATGAAACAGAAATCTGTGTCGACTACGTAGTTACATGGTGATTTAGCAGAACATACTTGAGTATAATCGGAATGTCTCGATTCCAGCCTAATGTTTTGCTTGATATTTCTGAGTCACGGTGGAGAATCACTTTTCATAATTTCGGCAGTTTGTAGCCGGAGCTAGGCTGGACAACAAGGTAAAATATGCAAATGGTGTAGCAACCAACATAGCGAGATGATTTCATATACATATCCCCGAAGTACGCATTGCATGCTCATATACTGTAATATATAAAAGAGTTGGGCTCACTACTAGTATTATCATGATTTAAAGCATGGGAGTCGTCACCTGCGCATGCGTCAGATGGCCATAGCGTGTCATTGTTTACAAACAAGCATCTACCCATGAGCCTTTGCGTTTTAGCGAGTGTTTTTATCGTAGTTTGGGACTCGATTCCCGCGCGTGCGCAGGGGATGACCCCCCCCCCGAAAAACTACATTAACGAAGTAATACCCACTATGAAACCCGTAATACGACACAGACTCCTGCCAACACACACTATGTAACCCGTAATACGACACATACTTCTGTCAATACACTCTATGTAACCCGCAATGTGATACAGACTCCTGTCAATACACACTATGTACTGTAAAGGGGGTAATTATTCACTGGGTTTTAATTTAGCTTATTTCGCTGACTGGAAAATGCGCTAAATTAAAACCCAGTGAATATGTAAAATTTAGCATAGAACACATTATCTAAATGACGAAACCGTGAATTTAAAACCCACTGAATATGCCTGAAATGGTAAATCAGTGAAATTTAAACCCAGTGAAAATTAGTCATTTTACAGTAACCCGTAATACGACACATACTCCTGTCAATACACTCTATGTAACCCGTAATGTGACACAGACTCCTGTCATTACCCACTATGGAACCCGTTATACGACATAGACTCCTGTCAATACACACTATATAACCCGTAATACGACACAGACTCCTGTCAATACACTCTATAGAACCGGTAATACGACACATACTCCTGTCAATGCACACTATGTAACCCGTAATACGACACATACTCCTGTCAAAACACACTATGCAACCCGTTATACGACACATACTCCTGTCAATGCACACTATGTAACCCGTAATACGACACATACTCCTGTCAATGCACACTATGTAACCCGTTATACGACACATACTCCTGTCAATGCACACTATGTAACCCGTAATACGACACATACTCCTGTCAATGCACACTATGTAACCCGTAATACGACACATACTCCTGTCAACACACTCTATAGAACTGGTAATACGACACATACTCCTGTCACTGCACAATATGTAACCCGTTATACGACACATACTCCTGTCAATACACACTATGTAACCCGTAATACGACACAGACTCCTGTCAACACACTCTATAGAACCGGTAATACGACACATACTCCTGCCAATACACACTATGTAACCCGTAATACGACACAGACTCCTGTCAACACACTCTATAGAACCGGTAATACGACACATACTCCTGCCAATACACACTATATAACCCGTAATACGACACAGACTCCTGTCAACACACTCTATAGAACCGGTAATACGACACATACTCCTGTCAATGCACACTATGTAACACGTTATACGACACATACTCATGTCAATACACACTATGTAACCCGTAATACGACACATACTCCTGTCAATACACACTATGTAACCAGTAATACGACACATACTCCTGTCAATGCACAATATGTAACCCGTTATACGACACATACTCCTGTCAATGCACAATATGTAACCCGTTATACGACACATACTCCTGTCAATACACACTATAGAACCGGTAATACGACACATACTCCTGTCAATACACACTATGTAACCCGTAATACGACACATACCCCTGTCAATACACAATATGTAACCCGTTATACGACACAGACTCCTTTCAACACAAACTATGTAACCCGTAATACGACACAGACTCCTGTCAATACACACTATGTAACCCGTAATACGACACATACTCCTGTCAATACACACTATAGAACCGGTAATACGACACATACTCCTGCCAATACACACTATATAACCCGTAATACGACACAGACTCCTGTCAATGCACACTATGTAACACGTTATACGACACATACTCCTGTCAATACACACTATAGAACCGGTAATACGACACATACTCCTGTCAATACACACTATGTAACCCGTAATACGACACATACTCCAGTCAACACAAACTATGTAACCCGTAATACGACAAAGACTCCTGTCAATACACACTATGTAACCCGTTATACGACACATACTCCTGTCAATACACAATATATAACCCGTTATACGACACAGACTCCTGTCAACACAAACTATGTAACCCGTAATACGACACAGACTCCTGTCAATATACACTATAGAACCGGTAATACGACACATACTCCTGTCAATACACACTATGTAACCCGTAATACGACACATACTCCAGTCAACACAAACTATGTAACCCGTAATACGACAAAGACTCCTGTCAATACACACTATGTAACCCGTTATACGACACATACTCCTGTCAATACACAATATATAACCCGTTATACGACACAGACTCCTGTCAACACAAACTATGTAACCCGTAATACGACACAGACTCCTGTCAATACACACTATGTAACCCGTAATACGACACAGACTCCTGTCAATGCACAATATGTAACCCGTTATACGACACCTACTCCTGTCAACACAAACTAAGTAACCCGTAATACGACTCAGACTCCTGTCAATACACACTATAGAACCGGTAATACGACACATACTCCTGTCAATACACACTATGTAACCCGTAATACGACACATACTCCTGTCAATGCGCAATATGTAACCCGTTATACGACACATACTCCTGTCTATACACACTATGTAACCCGTAATATGACACAGACTCCTGTCAATACACACTATGTAACCCGTAATACGACAAAGACTCCTGTCAATACACACTATGTAACCCGTTATACGACACATACTCCTGTCAACACACACTATGTAACCCGTAATATGACACAGACTCCTGTCAATACACACTATGTAACCCGTAATACGACAAAGACTCCTGTCAATACACACTATGTAACCCGTTATACGACACATACTCCTGTCAATACACACTATGAACCCGTTATACGACACATACTCCTGTCAATACACACTATGTAACCCGTAATACGACACATAC